AAAGTTATAAAAGTAATAACTAATAAATAAGAGTAGAAAAATAATTATGGGAGGAATGAAAGAGATGAATTGAATTGAATTGAGAGTAAATGATAAATAGCAAAGATTAAAATGGGAGAAGGGTGTATATATAATGGCTTTGCATAACTCTCGATCAATGAGTTGAATTCAATAACATATATCTCGTTGCTGAAGTTATGGTTGCAATTATTACCAACGTAGATCACATTGGTAAATCTCATTTTCACCCACATACTAGCCATGTTGTTGATTATTGCTTGCTAAAATTATACATGCCAGTCAATGAGAAATAGCAAGGTGGGCCTTGTTGGTAGTGTATGAAATCAACATGTTATATATATGTTGCTAAATAGTCTATTGGCTAGAAAATTGTAACAAGGTATAACACGTTGCTGATATTGGTTTTAGTATCATGGCCATGTTACTGATTGTGAGACCCCCTTTTAGTTGGAAAGAGATATTGTGCAAGTTTCAGCAACATATTTCTTGTTGGTAAAATACACTATCACCGACAGACAAAGTATGTTATTGATAATTAATTGCTAAAAATAAATATTTTAGAAGTGATAATGCATGCATGACGCAAACGTAGAAAGGGTGAATTTAATGAACCTGGGTTGGTCCACATTTCATGGCTTTAAAACATAGAAACATCCATTTTGAGACACATGAAAATAAACAGGCTTCCTTACCATTTAGACACTTTAAACCAGGTAAAATTAGATTTAATCCAAAAATTCAACCTAATCTATTTGCTATGAGTCAAGTCAAGAAGCTAAAGTATTAATTCAAAATTTAATATGACTCAAACTGAAATTATTTGAACCAAAGTAAATTGGGTTAAGGTTGGGTTAAATCGGGTCAACTAAAAGTGACTCAACTAAAATTAATTAATTTTAAAATTTTAAAATTTTTAATTAATTATATTTTTAATTTTAATTTTTAAATATAAAATAAAGTTAAATATTATAAAATAGTTATTATTTATTATATTATTCAATTTACTATTAATTCAATAAAATTTTCTTACTAAACAATAAAGTTAAATATTATAAAATAGTTATTATTTATTATATTATTCAATTTACTATTAATTCAATAAAATTTTCTTACTAAACAATT